AGTGGTATTTTCTCCCTTGTGTAGCAAGCTTCCTCTCTATGTACTTGAAAGGCTGTACTTAAGGAACTATACCCAAAGTATTTCATACACACTTGGTTGTGATTTAAATGGTAAATCTAAAGCATCTTGGAAGGTGGTGAGTGTATTTTGTATGTGGAAGACATGGATCATAGATGGCCAGAGGGCAATCAGGTAGGCAGCCTCCAAGATGACCCCCAATGATCACTACCTCCTGATATTCATGCCCTGTGTAGTTCCTGACCTTATTGTATCAGGGTTGGTCTTTGTGACCAATATTAAGTGATGGATCTGTCTCTGGAGAAGCCCATGTAGAAATGAGGCTTCCTGTCAACGTCCACTAGAGAGTTTGGAAGGCACTCCCGCAGACCCAGTCAAGCCTTAGGATGACTAGATGCCTAACTGGCTTCTTGATTGCAACCCCATGAGAGACCCTGAACTAGAACTACCCAGATAAGATCCCCCTGAATTTCTGACCCACAGACAATGTGAGATGATAAATGTTTGTTGTTTTAAATCATTAAGTTTGGGGTCATTTGTTACAGTAATAGATACATAATACAAATCTCAAACCAGGCTTAGGACTTAAGGATTCCTGGACTATCCAGGAAATGCACATCCAGGAAAACTATGTGCTACAGGTCCACCTCGTGGCTTTAACTTCTCAGAATGAGGATATTTTCCGTTTCCTTCACTCTGGATTCCTAAGTGGCAAGATAACTTTTCCTGCAGTTTACTGGGGGTGATGGTTAAAGTTTCTCTCTATGTCATTGTTAATCTGAATGTATACCATCAGGGACATGTGCTAATATAGGGTGGTTTTCCATTTTGAGTAGCTCCCAGTGACTTCAGTTTGCCTCAATTTAGAAACTGACAAAATATAAGTCCAATTTTCCCTCCATGAGCAAGAGCTCCGAAAGCAAAAACGATTTGGTGTTATGGTGTGCTCTGCTTACCTGTGCTCTCATTTCCTTTTAGAATTTTTTTTACATGACTCCTAGGTGTCTTCAATGTTTCATTACTGTCATTTTCTAAAATAAACTTTTAAAGAATTGATTTAGAAAATAGCTTAATAAAAATACAAGTCAAACGGGTAGAGGTAAATGAATTTTCTCATGGGGAGTCTATAAATAACCTCCATCTAGATCAAGAAATAAAATATTACCGGCATCTCAGAAACTTCCTTTATTCTACCTTTCAGTCACTTTTCCCTTCTTCCTCTAAGGTAACCACCATCCTGATTTCTAACACCAGAGTTTAATTCTTCTTCTCCTTAAAATTTGTGCAAATGCAGGCATACCGTTTGCCCTCTTTTGTGTCTGGCCTCTTTTATTCAATTATGCCTGTAAATTAATTCATATTATTAAGTATAGCAGTAGTTTCTCCATTTTCATGGCAGTAGAATGTTCCATTGTATTTATATTACACAGTTTATTTATTCTACTGTTGATGGACATTTACGCTGTTTCCATTTGGGGGCTATTACAAGTAAACAATGAAAATGAGAATATTTCTGTATATATCATGATGTGTACATGTAGGCATTTTTGCTGAGATTATACATAGTAGTAAAATTGTTGTATCACTGGGAATGCATAGGTTCAACATTATGAGATATTGCCAAACAGACTTCCAAAGTTGTGATAATGATTTCCACTCTTTTTAATTTTACCATCCTGCTAGGTGTATAGTGGTAACTCAATGTGTTTTTTTTTGTTTGTTTGTTTGTTTGTTTTGTCTTTTGTCTGCAACGGATCGCAACCCTCAGTGTTGCCCCCGTACCGGACCGGGGACCGGCAACAGGAT